CCCTGCCGTACCACCACCAAGGGGGATACACCCCGCTGTCGCCCGCCTCGCAGTACACACCCATGCACCCTGCTTATGCCCCCCAAGGGGACAACGTCTACCTGATGCCGGTCCCCAACAAGGGACAGCAGAGTCTGTACCCGGGCTCGGCATCCACCGGACAGTTTCCTCCTGCCCCGGCTAAACAGCCACCCACCTTCCCGAAGCAGGCACCTCCCCACACCTTCCCCAGCCCCGGCCAGGAGATCTACCAGGTGCCCCCCTCCCTGGGCCAGGCAGCAGAGGCGTACCCCGGGGGTTCTGCCAGTCCTCCCCAGGATGTCTACCAGGTTCCTCCCTCAGCTGGTCAGGCTCAAGAAATCTACCAGGTGCCCCCGTCGCTGGACATGAGGAGCTGGGAAGGGCACAAGCCCCAGGGAAAGGTAAGACGGGGAGACTGGATTGGGGAGCATGTTATAGTTGTGGGGTGCTCTGTGGTCCATGGGTGTGAGTGGGTGGCAGGGCTTGAGCTTATCTGCCCACTGGTGTCTCTTGGAGTGGGCAGCCCTTGTGCCCATTGCTGGAGTTGTGTGGGCATCCTTCCCCGCACTGCTGGCAGGAGGGGGTGCAGTGAGGGAGTCTCTGCAGTGGCTGTGGTGCCCTGGTTGACCTGGGCTGCCCTGCTTGGGGCTGGCACAGCATTTGGCACTTGGGTCCTCATGGTCTCTTGTGTAGGCTCTGCCATTGTCACTCAGGGCATGGCAGCATGTCTGGTGTGGGTGCAGGGTGCTGATAACCCAAGGGCTCCTTTGGCCAGATTCTGCAGCTGTGGAAGTAACTGTGGTACCCAGCACAGTGCTGTGAGGCTTCATTCCTGCTGGGAGCGCGGGCAGGAGCAGGCAGCGGGTGCCAGCATGTCCTGGCTGTGCCAAAGAGCCTGCCAGTGCTTGCTGGATTTACTGGTGAGGCAAGGGTGAACCACCAGCCTGTCCCCAGCATGGAGCCTAACAGCTCCATCCCCAACACCAGGCTCCTCCTGGCTCTGCCCCTTCTCTGGCACGTCATCCCAGGGAAGAGGAGTGAGGTGCTTTCGGTATCAAGTTTTCTGGGAAGGCTACCTGACTCACACCCCTGGGAAGTAGCCAGTGAGGAGAGGGAGCTGCCAATCACATCCAGGGCATGAGGAGCATCCTAAAACTGAGAACCAGCCTGACACCTCAGCCCTTCTTAGCACCAGTTGGGCAGAGTGCCATGACCCTCTAGGTTTGGTTATTTGCCACGCTCGTGTCGCCATGGAACGACCAATTCGGGGGTGAAGCCGTGGGCAGGGGTTTCCAGGCGTGGGCAGATCTCTGCCCACAGCTCGATGCCCGAATCGGTTCTTCCGTGGTGCTCCCCGCGGCCGTGCCGGCCGGGCTTTGTCTCTCTGCGAGGCTCTATCGCCGCTATAAATAACCGGTGAGATCATCCCGTCCCCGGCAGCCTGCACGCCCGGCCGGGGAGCGCCCTCCCGTGGGCACCGCCGTGCCCGCTGCCGCACCGGGGGTACGGACCGCGCACCCAGCCCCTCTGCAGCCCCGTGCTGCGGCTGGGGGGGATGATGCCGGCTGGGGGGGTGCTCGGCAGTCCCTACATCACTTTTCCGTCTTTTTCCAGGTGCTGGTGCCCACCCGCATGGGGCAGGTGTATGTCTATGACTCCCCCAAGGGTGAGCAGGTTGAGTATGATTTCCCTCGCCACCTCATCTCCACGGGCTCCCAGGAGATCTACGACGTGCCACCTGTCCGAGGGGGGGTCCCGAACCAGTTCAGCCAGGAGGTGAGGCTGCTTGTGGGGTCGAGGGGGTATCTTTGGCTCCACCCTCTAGAATGGGAAATGACCTGGCACAGCTGGGGATCCAAAGCTGGGCAAATTGCACCCAAAACTGTGCACTTTATGAAACTTGGGACTGCTTCTGGGCACCTCCATCTTTCCCAGTTGGTCCTGGGCAGAGATGAGTACCCATGCCATCTCTGATATATTATTCTGTGTCCCCCTCTCCAGGTCTATGACACACCCCCCATGGCAGTGAAGGGTCCCAATGGGCAGGACCCAGGGCAGGAGATCTACGATGTGCCTCCCAGCGTGGAGAAGAACCTGCCCCAAACTGTAAGTGCTGCTAGGAACCTCCCAGCTTCTCTATAAGAAAGACAGATTTTTATAGGGAAAACAATAATTCACTCTCCCAGGGATCAGTTTCCCCAGAGATGTGATGGTGTCCCTGGCACTGGAGGCTTTCAGGATACCAGGAGGCAGGGTGCTGGATGTTCACATCCAGGGGATGAGTTTGGATTCCGTGATGTTTCAAGGTCCCTTCCAACCTGGGCTGCTCTAGGATGTTGTGATTCCTGTCCCAAAGGGCAGGGG